AGACGCAATTCACCATATTCTCTGCAAGTGCCAGTGAGTCGCCCGTGAAATATGGCTAGAAGAAATCATCTGGATGACTTCACACGTGGAAGAATGATCGGAAAGCTGGAGGGGCGTACTGTCACCAGGTGTAGCTGCAGAGTTCGGAATCAACAAAAGTGTCGTTTCGCGAGCTTGGAAAGCGTTCCAAACCACAGGTACAGCTGTCAAAAAGGGTGTGGTGCAGCCGCCCGAGGACGACAATTGGGGGGGATGACCGATATATCATCCTGCAGGCAAAAAAAACGTTCAACAGCAGTCAGCAAGCGCCATTGCTCAGAAACTCTGTACGCAACAGGTCGACAAGTGTAGCGATTTACGGCCAGACCCCTTTCCCAAAAGGGCGCCTGTTCACCCGCCGTCCTGAACGCTGCCTCCCGTTGAAGATGGCCAACGAAGCCACCGTTTACAGTGGGACAGAGAGCACAAAAACTGGACAACTGATCAATGGATTCGTGTTCTCTTTACGGATGAGAGTCGGTTCAGTACCAGAAGCGATTATCAACGCGTTTTGATTTGGAGAGAGATCGGGACCCGGTTTTATCCAGTAACATCAAAGGGAAAAACATCGTTACGGTGGTCCTGGAGTTCTTGTCTGGGTTGGCATTATGCTGAACGGCGGAACTGAGCTTCCCCTTTTTGACAGAGGGTCTGTAACCGGGGATGGCTATTGGGGGAGGTACTTCTTCCCCATCTGCATCTTTTTTCCAAGGTTTCCCCTTGGCCCAGACTTCATCTTTATGGATGACAATGCCCTGCCACATCGCACTCTTGCTGTTGAGGAGCTGCTGGAAAGTGAAGATATCACTCGAACGGATTGGCCAGGGTGCTCCCCAGATTTAAATCCCATCGAACATGTGTGGGATGCTTTGGGGAGACGTATTGCCATACGCTCACATCATCCGGAGTACAACCAACAACTCAAACATATGTTGATTGAGGAATGGGCACTCCTATCTCAAGAAATGTTGCACCAGCTGGTTCTGAGTATGCGGAGACGGTGCAAAGCAACCATTGCAGTAAGGGAGGGCATATACCATATTAAGGAACATCTGCTTGTTGTTCTTCCTGTTGGATAGACAATCATGAGTCACGATACTATGCGTTCAATAAAGCTTGTTTTTGTTTTATTCCATACCGTATGCGTTGTATTCCTTTTTCAGCGCCGATGCTTTCGTCATCCTTTACGTACATAATACTCTCCCTCATTTCAGAATTTCATGTCTCTCAGATGATTTTTCGTGAAGTTATGGCAATAAACCCACCTATTGCTTAAGTTTTGCACACCAGTGTACATTCATATATACGTATCTATGTAAATTAAATGCACTCTAATAAACTTAATTTTGCTAAATATATATTTTTTCCCCAATATTCTTTAACACGAAAAAATGTTTCAGTTCCCTTAGTTTCATGTTAAGCGAATTTTACTGTACGTGTAATAGTTCTGAAAATATAAATACTTAAGATCCTGCCGTTCATTTGTGTTAATCAGATCATTCATAAAGAGGGTTATATTTTTCAAAAAACCAAAATGTAATTTTAGGCTAAAAATTAATAAACTTTTCTTTAAAATTTTTTTTTGTTTATCAACTTATAACGTCATTACACAATTTATATAAAAGCTTGTTGCGAGATTTAAGTACTCGTATTTACTTAGTCTGAAAATTTTAAAAATTAAAATCAATCAGATGAAATTATTTAATTTGCTTATTTACCTACACAGGTATATAAATCTCGCGACAAGCTTTTATATTATAAATTGTGTAATGACGTTATAAGTAGATAGCAAAAAAAAAAAAAAGCTTTAAAAGAAAAGTTTATTTTATTCTTTTAGAGCATTTATATAAATGCTTGTTTTAAAAAAGTTTTTTTACTTTTACTTTTTTTTTTTTACTTTTTAGTTATCGCTGAACAGGTTTCTCAGTCAGTTCATCTCATTCAAAGCATTATTATTGCAAGATTGTTTGCCGGTTAATTTTGAACAGGCTAACTCAGGAGTACTCAATCTTTTTCCGCCAGGACACGTTCATATGATAGATATTTCACTCGGGCCGCAACAAGAGGATAATGGGGGAGAGGATAAACACTGTAAGACCAAAATAACATTGGACAAAGCAAAATTAATCTAAATATTAAAACTTACTTTTTTTTTCTTTTCTGCCTTTTCTATAATTCTACATTAAAAACGAAAAACAGAAAAATTTTTTTAAAATCCGTTATGTTAAACCAATTTTTCAATCTTTGTGCAGAATTTGGATAATACTATTCTACAAATAAAAAAAGTTTCGAGAGACTACTTTAAAAATGACGACGTTTTTAAATGTTGTATTAAAAAAATTTGAATTTTTTGAAAAATCGTAAAAAAAAAAAGTTTTCGGCTTTTTATTTTTTAAATGACTGATTCTAAAAGAGAAAAGCCTGAACTTTCTTAGTGCTGAATATCGATTCATTAACATGGAAAAAAAATTCCTACGGAAAGACTTAGAAATCATTTTCATGAAAACGCAACGATTTTGACTCACTTTAGAAAAAATCGTAAATAATAGAAAATATCATTATTTTTTTTTTAAAAAAAAATACCGTATCGTGGCGAAATAAATGATCTTTCCGATTATGTAATTATTTTTGTCTCAGTTTGATAGAAAGAATAAGATGGTTTTTTAAAAAAGGTCGAAAAATCGGAACTTCTTTAAGCTCAATCCGATAAGCTGCTCGGCAGAACAAAAGCTAACAGGGGTAAAAGGTTTTTAATTAATATCTTCTTAACTAATTGCGATATCGGAATATAAATGGTCAAAACATGTATTGAGATCCAAACTAAACTTGGTATACAAAATTTCAGCTCAATCGGTTGAAGACATCAGCTTCAGAATTCATTTGCAAGATTTCACCCAAACAAATTACATTGCAAGTTAAATAAAGGCTTGTAAAAATCTTTTGGTCCATGGTACGGGTTTAAACTCCAAAACCCCGCCCTTTTGTATGCCTCTGAACTCGTACATACCTGTCATTCCTTTATTATCTAACTCAGTGGTTCTTAAACTGTGGTCCGCGGACCCCTTTGGGAAATTTTCCCGCCCCTATAGGGGGGCCTGAAAAGGGAAACAAGTTAAACGTTAAATTTTCTCTCTTTTAACGGCTGAAAGGCCTCGTGGAATAATTTAAAGATTTGCCTCTAAGACTAGATGATTAAATTGATTACTAAACTAAATAGCTAATGAATATGTGGTTAAGCACATTATTTATTTATTTGATATTAGTATTTTGTCATACTTCTTTCTCTCTATATATAATTATATAGTTACTGTTTTCATAAGTAAACAAGTAATTTAAAAAAAAATTAAGTCATTTCTTACTTATATCAACAAAGAAAATTTTTATTTTAGCTACTTTTTATTAAATAATTACAATTAATATAAATATGTATATACATATGACAGAATCACAACATCAAGTGGTAATTAATTTTTATTAATTATCGTTAAAGTATCGTAGTGTCATCCAAAACAATCGTTAATATAAAATTTCAAGTTCAACTGAATGCTTTAAAACGTGAGAAAAAAAAATCTTTTAAAGTTTTGACTCAGGTCGCTAAAAATGAAACCAACGTGGCTGTACCTGTAGTTCTTTAAATAATTAGTTTGAATCAATTAATTTTATTTAATTATAATTAAATTATCATATTTTTACCCAAAACAATAGTGTATAGAACATTTCAGCTCAAATGAGCGCTTTAAAATTTTTTTTTCAAGTTTTGACACAAGTCTCCAAAATGGTTGCTAAGTCGCCAAAAATGATGCCAACGGGGCTGCATTTGTAACTATTTAAATAATTAGTTTTAATCAATTAATTTTTATTAATTATAATTAAATTACTGTATTGTCATCCTAAAATAATCATGTATATAAAATTTCAGCTCAATTGAACGCTTTAAAATGAATTTAATTAACGATTGAAAATTCCACAACGATAAATAAATAAATAAATAGAGAATATGAGCTAATAATAGAATTGAAAAAGTGTTGAAAATTCTGTATAAGTAGCAGAGATCGTCTTAGGATTGTTGAGGACCCTTTAAGTCAATAGCCGTGTGTAGGGAGTCAGGGAGGGGTTTTTTAAATCTTTTGTGTCCGTGATGTCAGGACAATACATAAAGAGGGCCGCGGCGATCGAAAGTTTGAGAACCGCTGATCTATTTTATTGTATTCTCTGAATATTATCTAACAATTAGATTGCTCGGGTTTATAGCATAAGGAACTAATGAAATTAGTTCATGGAATAATTTCAGTTATTAATCATCATAATGATCTCCCGAGTTATTCCAATCAAGAACTCGTGATAAAAAACGTAATGAATCTTGTTTTCAGTGGAGATCAAATCATGAAAGGGAGAACTGAGTTCATTTCAAACAAGGAAAATAGCTTATGTATCGGAATTAGTTTAAATGGATAGTTATCCAAAAGAATTGGCAGAAAAAATATTGCTGGAGATAAAACTTCCCCAAATGTCCCTACTCAATTATACCAGTAATAAGATAAAAGCATCATGCTCTTTATATCTCTCTCCAATTCCAGATTATTATCAAAATGCGAACGGATGTTATTTTGTCCACATTGAATGTTTTACTTCCTTCTCGGAGAGTAGCCTCTAGTCTCGAAAGGACTCGAAATACGCGAGTTTTTCCCTATAAAAGACAGTGTAATCCTTATTCAGTTCCTCTCTCTCGACTATTAATTTACACTCTCCCTATATATATTTATATACCTTGATCAAATTTTCAATCTTAATTAAAATACATTTTTTTCATTTATTTAAGTTCAAATACATTTTTTAAAACTTGTAGTGGATGACACTTGATGTTAATAAAGTTCTTTCAATTATTAAATATGATTAATGAATAAAAAGTAACAAAAAAAAATAGTCCAACATCATAGGTAAAAAGGAAAATAGCTCATGGTGTCCCTGTAGCGCAATGGATAAGCGTGTTGGACTTCTAATCCAAAGGTCGTGGGCCTCAATCCCACCCGGGATAGCCTAACTTCTGAGAATGTGATTCTTTTTTGCTATACTTTTTTATTGGAATAACTAAATTTAATGAATCAATAAATAATAAATAAAAATAATAGTCCAACACCCTATACAGAAATGGAAATGGAAAATTGCAAGGGAAATAGCTTTATATTTTTTCACTTAATAATGTGATTCTGTCATATGTATATACATATTTATATTATTTAATAAAAAGTAATTAAAAAATAAAATTTTTCTTTGTTGACCTTAGTAAGAATTGATTTAATTTTTTTATAGCACTTGCTTCTTTTTGTAACGAAGAGAGAAAATATTTCAAATATTAGTTAAATATGTAGCTCATCTGTATCTCGTAGACTCACTCACTCATGAGATGTCCGTAAATATTAAACCAGCTGACTTGAGATTTGGTAAGCATGTTACTTTTGTTGAATAGAGACCCGCTAAGAACGAGGTTGTTGGGTGTTGGAAGGGTTTGTAGATGAAAATTAATTTTTGAACTATTAGTCCTACAAACTTGAAAATTGGCTAGTCTGTTACTTTTGTTGTGTCAATAACAAGATCCATGGTAAACGATTAACAAAAAAGTGCGGGCTACAGGTTCACTTAAAATAAAAAAATCCGTTTTTTCAAGTATTAGGCTCATAGACTTTAAATAATGTAAACTTGGTTCTTTTTGTTGAGTAGATACCCGATAAGAAAGTGTTTCGGATACCCAATAAGAGAGTGTAATTCAACTCTCAGAGGGGGTCTTAGATAAAAAAAAATTCCTGTTTTCGAACTATTAGACCGACAGACTTAAAATTTGTCTAACAGTTTTTTTTCTGTTAATTAGAAACCTCGCTTAAAAAGGTTCATATTGAAATCAACTGCTAAACGGGGATTAGTGCACTCATAATTCAAAAGCTTAAGGCTAGAACTTAGATCAGCGATTCTCAAACTGTAGCCCCCCAGAGGAGCGTGATAATTCTACGAGGGGGGCGTGAGCATATTAAAAAATCAAAAACAAAAGAATATTTTAAGAAAATAGTTGACTGAAAGGAATAAAAATAAGCAAATTCTCTGAAATAAATAAATCTTTCGCAAGCACTGTCAAGATCCTTTTATTGTACTTCAAAGTCTTCGGAATAATTTTATAAACAGAAGTGCACAGAAAAGATCGCACTTCGGAAAGACGTATATAAACATCCGGGGCAATCAATGTTTTGGTTGAACGAAATGTTTATACACCCCACAGTGTGGCACTTAAGAGGTTAAAGTCGTATTGCAGCTTTAGCGTCAAAGTATAGCATTATTGAATTTTTACATTTTGTACGGAAGTGAAGGGGCACGATGAAAATGATGATTGAATATTGGGTCCAAATATTGAAAGTTTGAGAAGCACTGACTTAGATATACCAAAATAGGTTTAAAAAACTCTATAAAGTCATTCAACATCATGCGGGCAGGCAACTGCAAGTGTGATGTAAATGCAAAGCGCTGGTGAAAAAATTTTTTATCAGAAATAAAACGTGCAATCAATAATAATAATTTTGCTTAGATTCTTTCGCAGTTACTCAATCACTAACAGAATTTTTCTGCTCTATTTTTTAAAGCGAAACTTGAATAGGAGAAGGAAAAAATAAATAAAAAACATGTTTTTTCGCACAGCTAAGATACTATTATTCTATTATTTATTGAGATGTTTATATATTCTTTATGCCGGCAATATGCTATAAATACCAAGACAGAAATGTTTACATTAAACTTTGCTTTATAAAATTTTTTTCAAAATTCTTATATCCGCCGTGTAGCCTTTTGGAATATAATTGAGTCAGTGGCAAGGAGGAGATCCGAGTTCGGACCCTCCCTCCCCGTACCCCTTGATGTTTTTTCGATTGATTATAATCCTATGTATATAGTTCGTAAAATTAAACTAAGTATTTGTTATTAATAATTACTTTTATTAATTAATGCTTAATTATTTATTCAATAATTAATTTTTTACTGGTTTTTGTTTCCGAAAATCGACAAAAGCAAAAGAATATTTTGGGCGGCATATTAGAGCATGATACGAGAATGGTGTTTTTTCGACCCTGGACTCTTCCCTTGAAAAACTCCTGTGTGCGCTACCGAATCCAGTACTTGAAGCATATTTTCAGGTTACAACGCTGAAAGAGTGCAAAAGAGAAAAGTTACATCCTATTTATTTCACACACTCGTTATCGAATGTTCTTATCCGACATGTATTATATTATTCCGTTACTCCAAGACTTCTCTCATGTGCCGAAATCGCTCAGTTAGGAGAGCGTTACACTGAATATCTAAAGGTTGTGACGGCTCTATCTGCGATCTTCTTACTAATAGTCCTCTTGAGGGAATTTGTAGTTTTTAAAAATTATTTTATTATAAAACTTCCTCCCGAAGAAGAAAGCCTGAGTATGCAAATTAAGTCTAGTATTTAGAGTCTAAGCTTTCAGCACTGGCGTAGTTAGTTCTGAGTGGGCCTTGTATTAAAACTCCTTCAGGGCTCTTTTTTTAGAAAATAAAGCCCTGTTAGTGGTACTATAGTTACACATGTCGGAGCCCCTGTATCTTGGGGGCGCCGTATCATTGAAACGACTGATATTGCGTTAGCTACGCCCCTGGCTTTCAGGTTAGAAGAGAGGGTTAGGATAGTTTGCTGGTGGAATAGTGATGAACCAATTTGAAGTTGATAATTGTTATATGTAATTTGATGATCTGACACCTTAGATTTAGTCTAGATTAGGTAGCAGAGAAGTCAGAGCGATTGAATGGACGTAAATGTTCTATAAGTGATAAGTCTTCTCATATCTCGCGCGTACCTCGTTAATTGTCTTCATATTTAACAATTGGGTGCATCTCTTTACTTTGGTAGACTGAATTTGTGTTGTGGTGAGTACTGTGAATAAATTGAGTGATTTTGACTATGGTTAGTCTTCCTTCCAATTCTCCTACACCTTTAGGCGCAGAGGCTAAGCCTTTACAAGGTTCCTGGTGCGATCCCGGGTTTTGGTAAGTGTTTCTAACTCTCGGTAGTATAATGATAAGTAGCTCCACCGGGAAGGAAGTTCCTTTTACTTTTTACTCGAAATATAATAATTATAAAACTTCTAAGTCTCATTTCGGAGAACTAGCCGGATTTTTAGAGCCACCCTTGCGGCAGTTTAACTGAAAAATAACTTTTACAATGAGGTATAGAAGATTTAATTTAACATTTGAAAATTTTACGAAGTGCGCAAAAAATGACATCGAATGTCTTTTGACCGAGTTTCTGAATTGACCAAGAAAGACTAGTGGCCTATAGGGATTTCGGATTATCCTTCAGAGGAATCAGTCAACGTGTTGGAGGAAACCAAACAACTGTGATGCGGACCTGTCGTCGCTGGATGCATTAGAAAACGTGAATAGACAGGGCAGATCGTACCCACCTCGTTGCACCACTGACCATGATGACAGGGGAATATTGCTTCATGGTAGTGATGAATCGCGCAGCCACATCAAGAACCATAGCACAACAGATTCAGCCTGTTACGCATCATTCGGTGTCCGCTCGTACCATTCGACGCCGTTTGCAGTGAAGTAGAATGTCCGCAAGGCATCCGTTTACCCTTGACTGGAAACCACAGGCGTTTGCATCACCAATTGTGTGATAAGAAGCAGACACAGACATTAGAAGGGAAAGACATTGTGTTCACTGACGAATCCCGTTTCTGCCTGCAACATCACAATGGTTGGTTTCGAGTTTGGAGACACCGTGGTGAGAAGCTGCTGAACTGTTACATTATGCATCGCCACACTGATTCTGCACCCGGTATCATGGTTTGAAGAGGTATTGAATTTCATTGCCATACCCCTCTAGTACGCATTGCCGGTACACTGAATATCCAGCTCTACATCTTTGAGGTGTTGAAGCCCATAGTGATCCCATACATTCAACGCTTGCCATAAGCCATATTACAGCATGATAATGCATGTCCACACATGGCACTCAATGTTCAAGAGTTCTTTACCCATCAGATTGAACAAATTCCATGGCCTGCTTGTTCTTCCGATCTATTGCCAAAGGAAAACGTGTGGTTCATGTTTCCCAATGACTGGACCGGGGTACACCACCCGCTTCTACTCGAGATCAACTTTGACAATAAATGGAAGTTGTATAGAGACTGATGTACCCCAAGGATACTTCCAAAGTCTTTTTGATTCTCTGCCGAGAGGTATGGTAGTGGTTAACGCCAAAAACGGTGGCTATACTAATTATTAATTTTGTCATCATCCACACGCCACAAGAGGCTGTAATTTTAATCGTTTGATAGTTTGTACGGAATGTTGCCGTTCTTGGTGTTGCATTTTGTGTGGCCGCGCTGTGTATGTTATAAAGTATATTTCAGACATTCGCAACAAATAACACAACATGTGACAATAGTATCCTTAGAAGAATTTGATTTTAATAATTCCCCATATTTATTCTTACGGCAGTGCTTCTCAAAGTTGCAATACTCGTGACCCAATTTTCAATCGTAATTTTCATCGTGCCCCCATACAATAATAATGTACTGAATTCAATAATACTATACTTTGAAGCTAAAACTACGATACGACTTTAACCTCTTAAGCACGCCATGTATATAAACATCTCGCTATGCCAAAGCCTTTATTTCTCCAGACGTATATATACGTCTTCCCGAAGTACGATCTTTTCTGTGCACTGCTATCCGTAAAATTATTCCAAGACTTAAGAATGCAATAAAAGGACCATGACAAAGTTTGCAAAGGATTTACTTATTCCAGATTATTTTGCTCCTTTATTCCTCTCTCCTCCCCCACTACATCCCATACGCGTGCCTGGATGGAAAACGTTTGGGAATTGGAAGCGAATCGCAAAACTTATGATCGGCCGTACAAAAATTATCAAGATATAAATTATAAACCACACAAAAATTATCAAGATAAGTGTTAATTTTTATTATAATTATATATATGACAAAACCCTTTGGGTCACTG